ACGGCAACCCAGCACCAAAGTGGAAGGACTGTGAGATCTGTATACAGTCGAAATTGACGAAACTGGTCAGCCGGAGGCCACCGCGCGAGCCAGCTACCCAACCGTTCGAGCGCATCAGTATTGATCTGGTGCAGCTACTAGAGCGAGGCGAGCATTGCTATAACGGCGACCAATACCTATTCCACATGATTGACCAGGACACGAAGTGGCATGAAGGAAGCTGTATGCCAGACAAGACAAAATCTACTCTCACACGAGTCTTCAAGCGACTGCTAGCCAAGATTAAGCAGCAGTTTGATCGCCAGGTTATCATCGTGAGGCTGGACATAGAGACTAGATACGTTGAGCTGCTTAAGATATGCAGAGACCTTAGAATTGCGATTGAGCCGAGAGCGACAGAAGCTCAGAATGGAGCGATTAAGCGCGCAGGGAAGGCGATTGTGATTTGAGGCAGAGCTATCTAACTGCACGCTGGTCTACCTAAGGAGTACGCCAACAAGTGTGTCATGTCCGCAATATACCTACTCAATCATACGCCAGTCGAAGCGATTGGCTGGAGCTGCCCATACACTAAAGTTAAGGGGATTAAGCTATTAGTTGCTTACCTTGAGGTGATTGGAGCGAGAGCCTATGTGCTTAATGAGAAGCTGCCACGCGGAGCTAAGCTCGAATCTCAAGCTCTTATCAGCCACCTGGTAGGCTTCGACTCTACCAATATCTTCTAAGTGTAGTTGCCATCCATTAGACAAGTGATACAAACCCGAGATGTTGTCTTCATTCGAGGCAAGCTCTGTGACGGCAAAGGCCAGTACGCAGAGAAGAGCTACGTTCGAGAGGCAGCAGAAGTGCTCGATATTGAGGAGACGCTCGATTACAGCAATATATTGACAGAACAGCTGTTCTCTGGTGAGAACAAGGACAACGCTGAGGGTATCGGAGATACGGTTCATGTTCAACTACCGAATTATCAGCAGAGCCGTACTCAGCAGAAGAACACCACAGCGCTCATGACTCCAGAAGCGACACCAGATTCGCCCGAGCCGATCGAGCTCACAGGCGAGTCGCTCACTGATCAGGCAATGGATGATACTGGCTGGGGACGCGGATATGCTCTAGCTCGAGAAGGAGAAGAGCCAGACCGAACGTCCAACAACGCTGCACGACGAGGAGAGATTAGCAGCCAGGTATCAGAGCAGTTTATTATGAAGGGCAAGCGAATTCGCAAGCCAGCGACGTTTGGCACCTATCTAGCGACATTTGCAGCCTGTATCAACCCTACAGCAGCAGGAAAGCTACTCAGCGAAGCGCCGAAAACCCGACTCCATCGTGACCAGCTGCCGGCTGAGCCAAAGAGATGGAAGGACCTAGATCAGCATCCATTTGGAGCTGAATTCAAGAAGGCAAGCTGCAAAGAGATTGATTGCTTTATCTAGAGGAGCTGTTTTGGACAAGCAGTGAGAGCGTCTGATTTAATAGACGCTGAGATACTGCCATTAATGTGGGTATTCACGTACAAATTCGACGAGGATGGATATCTCTACAAGTTTAAGGCGAGACTGGTAGTGAGGGGAGACCTGCAGCAGGATTACGGCGATACGTACGCGGCGACGCTGGCTGCGAAGATATTCTGATGTTTGATCGCCCTAGCAGCTGCTTTTGACCTTGAGCTGTACTAGTACAACGTCCTGAACGCCTTTCTTAACGCAGAACTTGACCGACCTACCTACGTACGATGTCTAGAAGGATATGAGAGCGAGCTTGGCCAACTGCTTGAGCTTAAACAAGCTCTATACGGACTTCGAGATGCTCTGCGACTATGGTACAAGCACCTCACTGCTACGCTTGAGAAGCTAGGCCTTCAGCAGGTGCCAGGAGTGCCCTGTCTGTTCAGCAATAATTACTTAATTGTCTTCTTCTTTGTAGACGATATAGTCATAGCTGTAGCTTCTAAGAACAAGGACACCTACCGCCGATTCAATCAACAGCTGCGAGCTGCATACAACATGCGATTTCTGGGAGAGCTGAAATGGTTCCTCGGCATACGCGTGATCCGAGATCGCAGCCAGAAGAAGATCTGGCTAATGCAAGACAGCTTTATTGAAAAGGTAGCAGCTAAATACAACATTGCTCAAGAGAGCACAAAATATCTAGCAGTACCGCTAGTAGATGGAAATATTGGCCTAAGCAAGGAGGAGCCGGACGAACAGCGCACAAAGCTATATCAGGAGTTAGTTAGATCACTAGCCTACATCGCGACATACACTTGGCCTAATGTTGCGCAAGCCCACTCTAAATTATCTCAATATCTACAGAATCCAGGTCAAAAGCATGTCAGCGCAGCGTACCACGTCTGGAAGTACTTGATTGGCCAGAAGCATTTGGCGATCAGTGCACATGGAGATCAGAGCAGTCGCACGATATACACAGGCTCAAGCCTGGGGGGTGCTGGAACAGAGCCACTATTCTACGGTGCCTCTGATGCAGCCTTTGCGGACGACCTGCCGACGCGGCGCAGCTCTCAGGGATATCTTTTCATGATGTACGGTATGCCTATCGACTGGAAGGCGACACTCCAACGTTCCGTCACGAAATCGACCACCGAGGCAGAGCTGCTAGCTCTGTCGACAGCAGCCAGCGAGCTGCAGGCATGGAATTGACTGTTCAAGCACATTAAGCTCAACCTAGAGATAGTACTAACAATCTTCTGCGACAACCTGCAGACAGTAGGAGTTATTACTAAGCATGAGGACAAGCTATTCACGCGTTTGCGTTATGTGGACGTCCACCAACATTGGCTTAGGCAGGAGGTAGCAGCTAGACGCATATTAGTTTAGTAGAAGCTAACTAACCTTATGCTAGCTAATAGACTTACTAAGATCCTTATACGCTAGAAGTATGCTAAATTTGTCTAACAGCTTAGATTAAAAGACGTTAAGAACCACCTACTAGAGCCTAAAGGACATGATAACCCTAATTTGGCGAGCTTGACTTACTAGTATTAGGATAGTATTAGGCATAGGTATAGGGCAACAATTATAGATATAATATAGAACAGGAATAAGGGAGATCAGTTTTAGTTAGCACCTCAGCTAAGGGGGTGTGTAACCACGTGGGTGAAGTCACATGATATCTTGTTGTAGAAGGTACCGCCTAGTGGGCAAGTGCACTTACCTCAGAGCTGAGAGCTCTGTACACAATCATCACAACACAACAACAGATAGCAATACAATTGTTGATCCCAGCCTCCACCCGACACTGCACCAGGCAGTTACAATATATCCCTAAAGGCTAGTAGGAAGCCTTCCTTATTAATATAGAAGATATATTAGTATGCTAAGTCTTAAATATAATAGGAGTACTTATACTTTAATAGTAAGAAATAGACTATATTAAGTAGCTAGAGGATGTGTAATAAGTAAGGCAGTATATAGAGAGTAAGGATTTTGTTCTCTAGGTAATAGTCCTTAAACTCCTAGTTAAGATAGCTCTTATAGCTATCTATAATAAGTGACCTATACACTCCTACCTAACACATCTTTATATACATATTAAAGTGCTTTAACTACTTAAGGCTAAGTATATTATTTGTCTAACTATTCTTAGAGACTAAGAGCTTCTAATTATAGGGTATATCTGTCTCGTTATACTAGGCAGAGATGTGGACACATCCTTTGTAGATGATGAAAGACAGGGTTGCATACCTAGCGGCGCAGATGCTCTAGATAATGGTAGCCTACTCACAATCGCCTGGCTGAACAAGCTCTGGCTAAGTACGTCTCTCTAAGCCTGTTACAACCTTTAAAGACAAAGCAACGCCTATCTGTAACGGTCTAGACTCTAAAGCTAAAGAAGAGCTAGAGCTAGCCAGTTACATTAGCTTAGCCGGCTTGGCTTAAGCTGGATATATATTATCTTCGCAGTTAACTAGGCGTCTAGTTAACTTGTGCATGCTTTTTAGCAAAAGTTGTTATGAAGTAGATATCCTTTATTGGCCTTTGGCCAGACTACGACACTATCTAGAACCTAGTTTTATTAAAGTTGTGCACGTTGTTGTTGCAAACGCTATACTTAACTTAAGTATCCTCTACTAGCTTAAACCATGGCCCGCATTTGCCTAGGTTAGCCTTATATTTAGTTTTACTGAACATAATATTATTTAGTAACACTCTTTACGGGCTTCTTACACGTGCGCAAGTTATGCCCCACTATATAGCACTTTGTAGAGCGTCCTTAGGTTGTCTCACCTCCTTTAAAACGTGTAACGATCTAGACTCTAAAGCTAAAGAAGAGCTAGAGCTAGCTAGTTACATTAGCTTAGCCGGCTTGGCTTAAGCTACACATATATTATCTACGCAGCTAACTAGACGTCTAGTTAACTTGTGCATGCTTTTTAGCAAAAGTTGTTAGGAAGTAGATATCCTTTATTGGCCTTTGGCCAGACTACTACAAAAGACACATACAACTTCAACAAGACAGGCTTCATAATAGGCTAGATCTCCTAAGGAGTAGTTATTACAGCTTTAGAACAACAAGGTCAACCAAAGGTAGTCCAGCTAGGCAATCAGGAGTGGACTACAGCTATAGTAGGCATTAATGCTAAACGATAGGCTATTCTGTAACTGTCTATACTCTAAAGCTAAAGAAGAGCTAGAGCTAGCCGGTTACATTAGCTTAGCCGGCTTGGCTTAAGCTGGATATATATTATCTACGCAGTTAACTAGACGTCCGGTTAACTTGTGCATGCTTTTTAGCAAAAGTTGTTAGGAAGTAGATATCCTTTATTGGCCTTTGGCCAGACTACTACATGGACTAGTATTATCTAGGGCATTAATGCAAAGGGCTGGTCTATCCTACCTTTTATTATCTTCTCTAGCAAGCACTATCTCACTGCCTAGTACAAAGAGCCTAGTATACCTAACATCTAGGTTCTTAATGTCTCTAACAACAGCTAGACTAATAATAAGCTTAGAGCGAAGTAGTTAAAACACTTTAATAAGCATATAAAGGCGCATACTGTTGGCAGCCATCAGCTGCTTGTCCTAGATGGCCATAAGAGCCACAACTCAGTTGAATTCCACTAGTACTGTGAGGAGCACCAGATTATCACTCTGTGCATGCCTCTGCACTTATTGCACTTGCTGCAGCTGCTTGACGTGGGATGTTTCTCCCTGTTAAAGAAGGCCTATGGCCACCAAGCTAAGAGGCTAATGCGCAGCAAGATTACGCGCATCACTAAACTTGAGTTCTTGCCATGCTTCAAAGCAGCTTTTAACGCCTTAATTATAAAGAGTAACATCTAGGGAGGATTTAGAGACGCTAGCCTAGTCCTGCTTAACCTAGAGGCTGTGATATTAAAGCTTAATGTACAGTTGTGTACTCCACCACTACCCCCTGTAGATAAGAGTTTCTCAGAGTCTAAAACACTAAGCAACACCCTAGAAATTAGGTCTTAATTAAAGCTAATTTAAGAGAGGATTTAGAGACACGCTGATAGATTACTAACATTAATAGTTAACGCTCTTAATTAGCTCACTAGAGGCGCAGAGCTGATAGCGCATTCACAAGTTTTTAGTGCGCAACTAGGTCGCTGACCTACAGGCAGCTAACAAGGCCACTAACGTACCTCACGGGCGAGTGGCCGGCCCAGGCGAGTGACCGGATTTTGCCAAGACCACACTAAACTTCAACTTCTCTTGCATATTATAGCAAGTTACTACAAGTTACTATAACGTACAGTATACAGCACTAATCTACAGTATCTTGTGCATCTTTTATACACGTTCGCGTGTTGTGCCCTGCCTTACTATACCTGCTACAGCGTTGTAAAGACTAAGTGCCTAGTTTAACACACCTCTTCTTGCTTGCCTTCTTCCTATTACTATAGGCTTTAAACTCCTTTAGTGTAGTTAAGCGCACTCCTTTACTAATAGTAAGAGTCCCCTCCCTCTAGATCTGCTTCCTCTTGTGTGATTTACAGCGTGTGGCGGCCTCCTCATTGGCAGCTTGAAGCTCTGCGACCTAGTTACGCACTAAAACTAGTAAATACGCCATCATCTCTGCGCCCTTAGTAAGCTAATTAAGAGCATTAACTATTAAAGTTAGAGAGCTATTGCTATATTATTAAATCCTCTCTTAAATAAGCTTTAATTGCGACCTAAATTCTAGGGTATTCTGTAGAGTTCAAGAGTGCTATGTACATCGGGAAAAGTTTTTCTGTTGTCGAAATCAGGAAATCGTGGCATTGTACTGTGGGCAACAGTAGGACTTGTAGGCCTACAACAG